ATGCCTGGCAGTGGTGAGAGTGAGAACCCCACGAGGCAGGTGAGCTATTCGGCAATTCATGCCTCATCCAGTGTTCCGCTAGAAGCGCCTGCGTTGGGCACCGTGGGATCCCTCGTGGCCTCTCTCGTTTTCCTCTCATTTCCTTCCATGACCTCTGTCTTTGGGTCCCCACCACCCCTTCGATATACAGCACAATCGAGATTTTGATGCGGCGAGATCCAGGACTGCCAATGGCTCCTTCAGAGGTGGAAATCGTCGCCTGGATCCAGGTTTGGGATGTTGAGATGATGTATCACTTTTGCTTGGGACAATTTGAGGAGGAGGGTGGGATTATCCCGAAATAGATCTCAGGGACACCCCTCCCTCCCGCACCCCAGAATGAGAGTGAGCTGGGGTGTCTGGCTAGAATTCCATGTTTCCTCACTTGACATCGGCCGAGAAAACAACACCGTCTCCGCTGGGGGACACCGTTATGAAATTGATATGCAAGTTCGTCATCCGTCTATGAAACCGTGTCCCGTGATATCGTGGTGATGCTAGAAGCCTGAGACGTCTTGACCAGGGGGACCCAGACTGGGGCAGGGCCGACGCTTTTCGGGTTCCGCCATGAGCCTTGATTCTGTCTGCTCCCATCGCGACGCAGGGCGAAATGTGACAGATTCCAAAATCGACGAGAAAACAAGACTTGGCGGGGAGCCGTGTTGGAGATTGACTTGACTTACGGAGGGCTGCGAAACCACCGTAGCTTGAACCGTTGGAGCGACTCCGTTCAGGTATTGAAATGGGTCGTCCATTTCCCGACAATGCCCGGTGGCCCAAACCCGAACGCCACACGCGGCGTCACAAGGCCGACCGTTGAGAAGCTTTGAAAATCTCTCGGAACGGCGCGTTGAGCGGCAGTCTGGTGTCGTGGACTCCATTCGCAAGAGGAGAGCGGGCGGGGTCTGTCAGGTCCGCAAGACAAGGGACATGACCATTCGCATCTCAAAACGACCATCAGAAAGCTCTGGACATGGTCTTGGCGCCCGCTATCCCGGTCACATGGAGCAAATGCCATAATCCAGTAGTTGGTTGCGCCGCGGCTAATCATGGCCAACCTAGCTTGACCCGCAAGAAGACGGCCTCTATCAAGGGAATCTGGAAAGCAAAAGCGGGATGTCAAGGCAATACTGTGGGGGTTTCGCTCAACCAGGCGAGCCTTGCCGGACTCAGAACGTACTTGGTGGTGGTCGAGACACCATTCGAGAAAGAGAAGAGAAGCTGTCGGCTGGTTGAGTCTGTCTCCGTGCACCTCCGCATCCCGCCGTCCGCCGGCCTCCTGAGCACACGGGGTTCCTACCTCCGCCACAAGAACTGTGCCGCCTTGTCCCGTTCAGGGTCCTGTCTGAGGATGATGTTCCTTCCGGTCCTCGAGGCCGTCGGCTGTCTTGCACCGGGCCGCCCAGTGTCTCAATCGGAGTTGTCGGAGGCTCACCAACAGCAACTAGGACCCTGAACACAGCCAGGCCATGTATGCCCACCAGTTTGACGAGAATTCTGGTGCCGATGACTCGACTTCACTGGACCGTCGAGTGCCGAACTGGTCGCAGCATCATCCTAGGAAACTGCCAGGATGAGGAGGGTTGGCATGGTCTGCAAGACGTGACGTGCCCGATGACTTTTATCGTCTCGTGAGGATGCTATCTTTTCCAGAGAGAAGGCCTGCCCTGCCAGTCAGGCACGGTATGCTAGGAACTGGTGGGCGGTATCGCGTGCATATTGTCGTGCTCTCTATTGGGATGCATGAATACGCTTGGGGATTGGCCCGCGTCTCAGTGCACAAGAAAGGCATCTTGAATCTGTGATTGAACAAATCGGAGATGCATGATCCTAGCTCGTGGGCCGTGAACGCAATCGGAATACCCCTTGTCGTTGACCCTCCCAAGTTGGCCAAAAGCTGCCTGTCGTCTAATAGCACTGCGGAAGAGGGACTTGGGGATGACACGCCCTGTGGCTAAGCCACGCCCCTACCCTGGTCGACCTGAGAGGCGCATTCACACAACAACTTGTTGGATCAAGAGGCCTGTTGCTCCTCAAGGCCATATGAAAGTCGCAGGACGATAAAGGGTAATTCAAAGACGCAACGGACAGGATCTGGCGCCGGATATTGGACGGGCAAGAGAAGAATGGCCACGCGCACACAGCCGGCCAAGGGTCGGGCGTCTTGTTGATGCTGGGATGGGCATGGCAACGAATCTCAGCCGCTTTCCAATAGGCGATGTTTGGCAATGTTTGTTTCTAGAGAATCGGCGGCGGATTCGAGGGAGCCAGGGGTTGTGCTGATTGTCGATGGATGGCCTAGCTTAGTTGGAAACTGCTTGGCTGTTGTTGGCAGTTCAGCTTCAGCTTGGAAACCAAAGGATGAGAAAAGGAGCAAGAGACAAAAGAGCTAAGCCGAATACAGGGTAAGTTTTACTCGACGTGGGAGAGGCAGGTGCAGTCCTCCCATCGCAAGTACGCAGTAGGGCTGCGCGGCCGGTGCGGTGCACGACAAGACTGGACGGAAGTAGCGAACGGTGGATGCAATGGGGCACCGTTTACACCACACTACATCCCGTCATGAACCAACCCAAGTCAACGTTTACAAGGCCGAGGGATTTCAACGCCATTGGCTCCAAGACCCAACTTGGGGCCAGCTTTCGCAATGGCCGACTCTGCCGTTTTGTCTTGACTTGTCTTACAACGGCGACTCTAAGCCTCCAGCCTCTAGCGCTGCGGAGCCAACGCTGGTTCAACGCTTGACCGTTGTGTTTGCGTCCCTCCCGAAGAGCCAGCTCAGCACGAACTCATCTAGCGCCTCCTCAGCAGTCAAACAGGAGTCAGGGGGTTCCCAGAGGCGCTTCCAGCGGCCGCGCTGACTTTGCCTTCGTGTCTCAAGTCGAGCCCTCTCCTCTCTCCAAGCACACAACGGACGACGCCTCACGACGAGGATGGAGTCGACTCCACGACGATCCACCGCCCTACAGAGGCTGAGTGAGGCGGTCGTGCGGCGTAGGTATACGCAAGGGATTCGGCGTTTGGTGGCCTCACAAGAGACACCCATAGCGAAAGCTCCAGTGGTCTCCTCCTACCCCCGGAACAGGTTCGCATAGCACAACAGTACAGTTAGCATAACGGCTCTGGCAGTCCAAAACGGTGCCGGGCCAGAACTTGCTCGACGCCGGGCGACGGGATCATCGGGCCCGCACCGCCAGCAGGGTCTGTCCACAGCGGAAGCCGCCGTCATCTTGTAGGCGACGGAGGTCAACCAGGCTCGAGAACACGGAGCCGTCAAGCGGATCCTCCACCAGGCCTTGCGGCGGAGGCGATTTCCGAAGAAGCTGCCGCCGGTGGATTCGTCAATGGGATTCATTGATGACTGATTGAGGCAATCAATACAAGTGAGACGTTTGCCGCAACTATGTGCTGCTCTGTGGTTCATATCAGCGCCGAACAGGAGCGAGACATCTCTCAGACGGACCTCTGGCCGAGACATACAAAACGGAACTTTGACCTGGACGGACTGGACTGACAGCCATATCCATGGATGCGATACGGTACGGAGGCAGCTGCCAACGTATGCCGAAGCCAACAACCGGCATCAACAGCCGGGTGCTGAAGCTCAACCCAACACCGGCACAGTCCGGGTTGGGCGAGGCCTTGATGGAGAGGGAAGAAAAATTTCGAGATTGGATCCCAGGCCCAGGGATGGCCCTGGAAGCTCATTGTCCATGACTGCCCTTGAGGCCACACCCCCCCTCCACCATCGCCCAAGCTTCAAAGCTCCCCCAGCACCGGCGCCTTTTTTAGCGTCTCAAGACCCTTGTCAAGATCCCGCGTCTCAATGCCACACCCACGTCCCTAAACTCGACTTCACATCTTTGAGATGGAAAAGAAAGCATCTCCAGATATGCGGTTTTATAAGGGCTCTGCACTGTCAGCGCGGCAAAAGCACACAACTGGGGAGCATTTGGTTCATTCTAATTCGCAGGAGATGAATGACTCGCAGAAACGGCCCTGCTGGTGATGTCTTGCGCTCTCCAGCCAGGCGGCCGCCAGAATCGCCGCAACTGAGCAAAGCTGGGCATTGAGAGAAGAGAGAGGTCAATTCAGCACTCTTGAGGGACTTTCCGGGGGAGGGCCCCCCTGCCGAGATTTCCTCCCCAATGTCTCATCTGTGACTATGAGGTCGCCAGACTCACTATAAAAAAAGACACAGAAACAGCTTCTCGCGGTCCAGTCTGGATGGAGGAGCTAGACATGGGTTAGCCTGTCCTCTTTCCCAAGAGCCAAGCCCTCTTGGTGACATTCTCTCACCCCCTCCTTTTGATCAACTTGCAGCGACCCAGAAACTCCATGTTGACCCTGGCTTTGCCGTCTTGACTAGGCCGACGTCCCAACCCACCCCCTGGCCCACGCCCGCTGCTAGGTAGGTGTTGCCCACCAGTGGGGGGTTTTGGAGCTTACACTCGACGACCCAGGCCAGAATTATGACGAGACCTGGATCACCTTTCTCTTACATCCCGGAGCCTGGTCGCAGAGGTACTAGACTCTGCAGACCCGCCTTGGAGAGGATCTCCGAGCTTTACCGCTCGATTGGCTCCAAGAGATTTGACCCTTGTCGCACATCAGTGTGCCTTTGCACTCCCATGGGATATATACTTGTGTCTCTCCTCCGGACTTCTTAAACATCCAGTCGATCCCGTTTCATTCACGACTTCCTCCTCAGCCACTGCCAAAGATTCTTTACTACGCCATCACCTCTCTGCTCTGCTCTCATATACACATACATCCTTCTACTCTTTGCTTTGGCTACAACTTGTTCAACATTTGATCGCACATCAGCACTTGACAACCATCTCGTCAACAACCAAGGACTTCATCCAGCAACACAGTATCACCTCGCTGTGTCTCCCTCTGGGAACCAATTCGACCTCTCAACCTGTCGGTCTTGCTATCGAGGCGAGACTGACTTATCCGGCAAACTGGCTCTCGCAGCTCAACCCACGGCCAACCCCAACTGGGGACGTTGGCCACAGCAACTCTCTGGAGAGTACACCATGATGGAGTCCCCATCCATGCTCCCCTTTGACTCTCGAACCGCAACCACTGCCCCTCTCCAGCGACCCATCATGGCTCCCTACATGGTACCCAACTCGTACAGCTCGGCCCAGATGAACAGCCTCACTGCGACTCACTACCAGGCGCCCAACCCTTACCAGTTCAGCGGCTACCAGGGCCCTCCTACTCCTCCCCATAACTCCTCCCCCTTCAAGGTGGAATACCACGACCGTCGCCCCATGGGACCCGACAGCGACAACGGACGAGTTCCCTCCTACCACCGGGGTGCCAAGTACTCTTACGCTGAGCAAGCGCCCTCTCCTGCACGAAGCGACTCCCAGGCCTCCACTGCTCGGTCTTCGGTCAACAACCCAACACTCTGCTCCAAGACCATCACCTCCAACGAGACTATCAACCCTGATGACCAGGTCAACTTCGAGACCGAGGTGGATGAGTTGATGAAGGCTATCCAACGCAAGGGAGAGAAGGAGCTGGATGTCGCACAACAGCCACTCACCCCAGGCATGTCGCCTGTCTCGGAGGCCAGCCTTGAGAACAACGGCACCCCAGCCCCTGCGGATTCCAAGACATCCAAGAAGCGATACGTTTGCAATGGCCCCAACTGCAGGAAGAGCTTCACCCAGAAGACCCATCTCGACATCCACCGCCGCACACACACTGGTGACAAGCCCTATGTAAGTCTGAACCACACTTGTGCAACATGTACAGGGCTAACTGGCACATCTAGACTTGCGAATTCCCTGGATGCAAGCTCACCTTCTCGCAACTGGGAAACCTCAAGACCCATATGCGCCGCCACACTGGCGAGCGACCCTACTCCTGTGGCAAGTGCGGTCGCAAGTTTGCCCAGCGTGGCAATGTTCGAGCGCACGAGCAGACTCACCAAGGTCTCAAGCCCTTCATCTGCCGCCTGGATGACTGCAACAAGACGTTCTCTCAACTTGGCAACATGAAGGTGAGCGACCTCGCTGCTCTTGTGGAACATGGTCAATACTAATGCCTCTCACTGCAGACTCACCAGAACAACTTCCACAAGAAGACGTTGAAGAACCTCACCATGAGGTTCGCTCAGATCCTCAACTCTGGAGAGGAGGTCCCCGAGGCCGAGCGTGAGCTCTTTGAGTACTTTGCCACCCACTACAAGAACAGCAACAAGGGTATCAAGGGCCGTGGAAAGGCTCGCACTGTCGCTGAGCGCAAGACGAAGCCTTCCCAGTCCCCTCCTACCAACCCCAACACTGTCACACCTCAGTACCCTCTTCCTCAGATCCCCCCTACCCAGCAGATCCCCTCTCCTCACCAGCCTCATGGCCTGTCTCACCCTGGCAGCCTTGCAGCCTACAGCATGAGCCGTGGACACCCCAACGTCATCAACAACATGCCTCGTGAGTCTCACGCTGGCGGTTATGAGATGTACGACATGCAGGGGGGACACCACCATGTCCAACCCTCCAACAACAACGGCATGATGTACGAGGAAGAGCATGCTCGCGAGATGGGCTTCAACGAGCGCATGTACTGAGCGAGGGAGATGACAGTACAAAAAAAAGAACAAAAAAGACATAGAAAAACGACAATGATGCAGCTTGGAGGACTTGACAGCATTACGCGATTCATTTGACGAAAACTACAACAGAACCAACAAGGGAGGCAAAACAGCGAATTTTTTTTTTCCACATCAAAAACTTTTCAAAACGACATGTGTTTCAAACGGAGTTAAAAGGAAAGGTCTCGGAAAGAGACCAACTCGGGGGTTGAAGTTTTGCTTTCTTGGTTGGTTGTCTGAACATTGATTGATGCAGGGGTATTATCCCAGAGGTTGAATTTTTGCGACTTTGATACCAATCATTTTTTTTGCTTTAATTTTTCTTTTCATTTCCTTGCACTTTTCTTGCCCTTTTCTGTACAAAAGGAGAGACATGCTTATTATCCTTTTAATTGTTGATATTTGGGACGAAGCTTCTGTTGGATCCGACTCATGCAAGGGAGCAGAACGTGTGGGTGGCTCTATCTGCAGTCTCACCAAGAGACTCGTCCATTGGCTTCTTGGCCTGGACTCGGTGCTAGAGAAAAAAGCGGTCTCACCCGCAGGAGAGGTTTTCTGAACATTTTTTTTTTCACACATTTTTTTTTCATGTCATTTTCTTGGCTGGGATGGGATGGGCTGGTGGAGGGCCCAGACGGGTGTCTTGGGGGTCCATGAGGATTTGGGAAAAGGATTTGGGTTGCATCACTGGTTACTAGACCATTCAAAGGAGCGTTGGTGCATGGGTATTGGAGTTTCTAGACTCTCCAGGATGGGAGCCTCTGGGTTGAAATCAATCAATGGGACATGATGGGAGCGGGAAAAGGCGAGAGTAGTCCCGGGGAGGGCGAAATCGGAACCTCTAGGCGTCGGGACAGAGTAGATCTGATTGAAATTCTAGCAAACATGTTGAAAGAAAAACACGAGTCTCGCTCGAAACCAGTGACTGGATGTGATTATCTCTATGACAAGTGACAGAGTTAAACTTGACAGGGAATACTCGGGTCAGCTTTGGCATCTTGTCGCCCTCCAACTCGGACTTTGTCTCCAGCCCTTCGGGATCAAACAGCCGGTCCTCTACACCACCAGAACAAGAGCCGAGAAGAGGTCTCGCGCGATAGGTAGCCAACAGAGCTAGCGAGGCCATCACGGCATAGCCCATCCAGCAAAAAGAAATGCCGCAAGGTTGTTTGGCGTCCTGTCATGCAAGCCTCGTCCGGCCACATGACGGGATGGCATTCTTTAACGGGTGGACTACACCATTGTTGGAAGACAAACGGAACGCTACCTTTTTCCCATTTCAAGGGGAATAGGTAGCTCACGAGATACCGGGGATGGGGGAGAAGTGATGCCCAAACTCCCGGGATACGTGAGGGCCTGATGAATGGGGCACTCGTATGTAACCCCGGCTTAGCCTCGATTACAAGCTTCCTTCATGCTACGTGATAGAGATGAGATTGGATCCGTTTCCGTCTCTCTGGGTATCCTCGGTACATGCTGTATGGTGCTGACATACTGGCGGTTAAACCCCCGTGGGGGTTCAGAGACTGAGCACGTTGGTCGACCTGGAGAGGGGGTCGGACCTTGAGAGCAAACGCCGCTATCAAGAGGCTGAAGACCTTGGAAAGAGGGGGGAAAGGAGGCGTTTCTCACAAGGACTCCAAGTGGGAATGGAGGAGTGACGTGAGGATGTCGTCTTCGGCGTATCTTGGGTCTCCATGTCAAGCTACGGAGCCCCCGTTTGCTCTCTCTCTTTGTCTGGGCAAGGCCGCCAAGATACGCAGCAAGTCAGCACAAGGCTTCGTCGCATGTAATCTCTGTATCTAGCAGCTGCGGCCATTCTGTTCCCGTGGACTCGGCGCTTGCTTGCTTGCTGCATTTCCCCTCTTTCAGCATGGGCATGGCCCCCGGTGGCTGCTTGAGATCGACAACGCCCCCCTCTCTCTTTCTCTTGGGTCCCCAAGATTTCACCGCCCCTGGCTTCTTGCCTGCTGAAGAAACGCCATGGGAGGGGAATAGGACCATGGGACGAAACTGATTGGCCATGCAGACTACAGCCTCGCTTTTTTGGAGAGAGGGGGATGATGTGGCTGTCTCGTTGGGATCTGCGCTGCTCACCGCCGCAAGAAGAAGAAGAAGAAGAAGAAGAGTTATGCTGTAGCGGACGGGCCGTTACGTCGCTTCCTTTGACAGGTTCGGTCATGCTGTTCTCTTCTCCAAACCCGGGGCAAACACATAGATGCAGGACTGGGCATCCATGCGAGCCAGCAGCAGTTTGTTCTCTCCCTCTCCACAAAAGTCTGTGTTTATGCTGTGCACGCACGTACATTGGATGCGTATGTACTATGTACTAGTAGATGCAAGATGGGGTTCTGCTCAAACGCGATCGATTGTATCCGTATGTAATGCGCCAGACTGGATACTACCCCCATGTTTGCCCCCCTCCGAGCTAGCAGACGTACAAAAGGCAGCAGTACATACACACGTACATACATACATGTAGCCCTGTCAAACGGAGTCGCAGGGCTGGCTGAGGCGGGGCGCGCTGCGTTGGGCCATGGGCATGGGGTGGGCGAGGAGGAGACGATAGCTCAGGGACGGCGGAGTCTCATCTGAGGCGGGCTGGGCGAGGCAGAATGGACGAGACGATGGAGAGACGAGAAAAATGTAAGGTAAGAAGTTGGTGGTGGGCATCTCACGCCCAGGAGGGAGCGGATGCGCCGAAGGGGCCCCCGTACGTCGAGACCTGAATCCTGCCTGAGACAGGCTTATCGACTTTGGGGGAGGCCTGGATCGCGGCATGACGAGAGAATCTTGCATACGCTTCATCTCCCAGGTGCAGTTACTCCTCATCCTCCCCCCATCCCAACAACTTGATGCAAGGGAGCTTGATGCTGCTGCTCCAACATGGGAGATATCTAGAGAGACGCCGACGGACTGACCGAGCTGTGGTATAGGTATACAATTCTAACCTCCGTGTAGAGTAGAGACAAACAAGATGCTGTCACCGCTCTGGATCTCGTAGGCCTCCTCACCCTCGAGCTCCCAGTCGGCATCGTTGATCAGAACCAGGATGCCAGGGCGACTGTTTGCCACCTGATCAGCCGCAGAACTATCGAATAAGGACACGTATAAAACGAGCGAGCGTGGTGTCCCTGGACCCAACGCGACGAGACGAAACCCAGGCGGCACTTGCAGCCGCGTGTGTAAAAGGGGAGTGGGGATAGTGGCTATATCAAGACTGATGAAGGAGAGGAGACGTACAGGTGGCTGTCCAGAACAAAGAGGTCCTTCCGAGAGTCCTGCATGACGTTCTGACATAAATGGTCTATCAGGTATGCAATGTTTGCAGGCTTTCCCTCCTGAGTTACTGCAGGTATCGAAAGAGAATGGTGCCGCTTGTCGGAGAAGAGCATCTCGAGGCCGCCACTGAGGCCGACAAGGTTAGCTAGTGACCCTACTAAACAAGGAAGAAAAAGCAATGAGAGCAAGGAGATTGCAAAAGTAAGGAAAAATCAGAGTTGTCCGCGGGGCCAAAAAAAAAAAAAAAACAAGGTGGGAGATGAGAGAGAGTGTCGGCTTCAGGGACAGGCTTCCCAAAAGCCTGGTGGACACTCGTGAAATGATGGATGCATAGGGGTGGCTCGACGAGACGAGAGGTGAAGCAGGAGAGAATGATAGATCATAAAGGCGGAGGAGGAGTGAAGAGAAAAAAAAAAGAACTAGATGAAACTGACGAGAACTCGACCGTGATGGTGAGGCTAGACTGTTCGACCATGGTGGCGATGGTGTAGAAGAGACGGTCTTGGCCTTTGTTACTGCCAAGAATTCAAACGAAGGGAAACGGCCGGGGGCGACCGTTGTGCCTGGTTATTTTTCCTTTTCTTTTTCGTATTTGCTTTTGTCGCGTGGAAAAAAAGCCTTGCTCCCACGATGTGTGGTTTGGTGATGGGTGTGTGTTGGTGTTGCAAGGTAAGATTGGGCAACAACGACGTCGGATCGTTTATTTCCGCCTGAACTAAATTTGAAGTTTCCTCAACGGGTCATTCAGCCAGGAAGAGAAAAAGAAAAATTAATGTAGTATTAGAGAAAAAAACGTGGTAGTTTTTTCAAGGTGCCCACTTGAGCCTCCATGAGAAGAAACGTTGGTTTATTTGCTTTTCTGTCGTCGTTTGTGGTTGTTTGAGTGAGGAAGCCACTCAAAGGCAGAGAAAAGAGAATTACATAAGCAAGCACGGGTGCATTTTTTCACCCAACCTCAACCTCTGGTGTCTACAGCCAATCAGAATTCGAGGAGCTCACACTTTTCAGACTCATTCCTAACCACAAGACAGCTTTTCTGATCAAAGATGGGCACGAGGCCAGTGTCGGTCGAGTACCTGTCGTCGGGGGCAAACAGACAGACGGCCGTTGCTGACTGGAGTCGGAGTGGGATCCTTGCGTTTGGAGCTGATATTAATGTTGCTTTGTGGCAGCCTTCGGTGAGTACATGAGTCACCTTGATGTTGAAAGGCACATTTCATTGATTTCCCCTCTTTTATGCGTTTTATATAATGTACTCTTGCTAATACTTGTATTCATACAGCTGGATCCTCCAAAAGGAGTCAGCACGCTCTTGAGTGGACATAAAACCACCGTCAAGGCTGTGGCTTTCCTCCCTGAAGCAGACGAAGACGCCAACACATACCTCATAACAGGCTCAGACGACAAGACCTTGATTCTATGGAAGGCTTCTAAAACAGGATACGACTTTAAGCCCATCCAGACCTCTTCTGAGCATTCGGGTGCTATCAACTGCATCACCGTTCTCAGAGTCCAAGGGTCTCAACGGTGGTTGATTGCAACTGGAAGTGCAGATGCTTCTATCAAGATCTGGAACTTTGAAAACGACCAGCTTGCGTTGCTTCAGACTATCAAGACTGCTCCCAAGTACTTTCCCCTTTGTATTTCACTCAGTCATGCCGATCAAGATGGAGATGTCCTTGTCCTAGCGTCTGCCGGCACACGAGATATCGTCCAGATCCTCACCGCTGAGGCCAAAGCGGAACAAATCAAGTTTGAAGTCCAGGCGACGTTGGCGGGTCATGAAGGTTGGATACGATCTCTGAGCTTCGCCAAGGAGACATCCGCCCCTGAGAGTGATTTGCTCCTCGCCTCGGCCAGCCAGGACAAGTACGTCCGCATCTGGAGGATACACCAGGGCAAGGAACTACCCGCCCTAGCAGCCAGCGGCTCCGACCCATCAAGCGACGCCTACCTCCCCGGAAAGTCACCCTCAAACAAGGCTCATCGACTCAAGTCTGCCGGAAAGGACTTTTCCGTCACCTTCGAAGCTCTGCTCCTAGGACACGAAGACTGGATCTACAGTGCCCGTTGGAGGAGACAGGATGACGGAAAGCTGCAACTACTGTCCACGTCGGCGGATAACTCGCTCGCCATCTGGGAGGCAGACCCGAGCTCTGGTATCTGGGTCAGCATGGCGAGACTTGGTGAGATTAGCAGAGAAAAGGGCGCGACCACAGCTACTGGAAGCACTGGTGGTTTCTGGACAGGTTTATGGTCTCCTGATGGCAAGTCTGTTGCCTGTCTCGGCCGCACCGGTAGCTGGAGACGCTGGGAATATATCCCCTCAGAGGATTCTTGGCGACCTTGCATTGCTATTACAGGACACACAAGAGCCGTCACTGGTATTACATGGGCCAAGAATGGCGAGTATCTCCTCTCGACGAGCTCAGACCAGACTACACGACTTCATACTCGCTGGAACAGGCCAGGGCAAGAGACATGGCACGAAATGTCTCGACCCCAGATCCATGGCTATGACCTCAACTGCATCGATTCTCTCGGAGCTTCTCAGTTTGTGTCAGGGGCTGACGAGAAGCTCATGCGAGTCTTTAGCGAGCCCAAGGCTGTTGCTTCGATGCTTAACCGACTCGCAGGCATCGGTGGCGGTGTTGATGTCCAGAGTATGCCGGACGCTGCCAACATGCCTGTGCTAGGTTTGTCCAACAAAGCTATCGACGCTGTGGAGGATGATCAGGAGATTCAGCCCATCGACGACCGTGATCGTGATGCCATGGATCCAGCTTCAGTGGTCAAGAAGTCTTACCTCGAGATTGAACATCCTCCTTTTGAGGAGACACTCTCTCGACACACCCTTTGGCCAGAGACAGAGAAGCTCTACGGTCACGGCTACGAGATCTCGTGTCTCGCTGCCAGCCATGACGGATCTCTCGTTGCTAGTGCATGCAAAGCTAGCTCTACCAACCACGCCGTCATCCGCCTTTTCGAGACGAAGCGCTGGACTGAGCTCCGGCCGCCCCTGACAGCGCACTCCCTCACGGCCACCCGCCTCCGCTTCTCTGTTGACGACCAGTTCCTCCTGAGCGTTGGCCGTGACCGCCAGTGGGCCGTCTTTGAACGCGCCCCTGAAGACGAGGCAGCATACAAACTCCTCCAGATCAACCCCAAGGGTCACACCCGCATGATCCTCGACGCCGCGTGGGCACCCGCTCTGTCCACAGCACCTGTCTTTGCCACAGCCGGTCGTGACAAGCAGGTTCGCATCTGGGCAGCCAAACCCGACGAAGACGGCAAGCTCAAGTTCACACAAGCGGCCGCTATCCCGTGTGCTTCACCGGTGACGTCTGTTGACTTTATTCCCCAACTTGTCAATGGGAGGTTTGTCCTTGCGGTTGGCACGGAGCTTGGTCGGCTCAACCTGTACTTGATCAAGGAGGACGGGACAGATGCTGTTGAGAAGCCTGCCTGCGAAGCGTATGGATCCTTTAAACTCGCTCCAGAGAGGTGATTGCTAACTTGCCATCTTAGTTTCTGTTTGCCCAAGGCTGTGCTTCAGCTTGCCTTCCGACCTGTTGCTAGAGAGGGTTCAGATCGGGCGTATGAGTTGGCTATCGCAGGAGAGGACAGCTCTGTCAGAGTGTATGCCTTCTCACAGGAGTACCTTCAAGTGCCTAGTGACTCATAGCAATACTAATGACTGCTGCAATGTCATAAACAAATCATGACTGCTCGTGATCAGCTGCCGATCAGGGGCTCGCTTCGTCCAACACGTCCGGAGCCCGGTATATTCGCGCTGGGTTGCATTTCAGGGGCAGATTCATGCCCACACTCGCAAATTGCACATGCAACTGGGTGTAATGTGTATTATCATTAAGCCATCTATTGGCCAAGGTGTTGTAGATCCGTATCCATGATATCGTAACGCCAAACAAACATCCGCCTCGCGGGACCTCCATGCATCGTAGCCTCCAGGGACAACATTTCCATCTCTTCACAAGACACTCTCGGGTAATCAAGACATGTCCGTACTCATAGCTCCCTGACCACCGTCTCGGCCGCCTCCTTGGTCACGTCCGCCACGGTCCCCGATAGCGCGCTCGCAGAAATGTCCCTAACAACCTCGTGCATGGCCTCGGCGACGTCAATGTGCTCCCCGTTGATGTAATACCAGGCGCGGCCGCACAGGAAGGAGATGTGGTGTGGCAGGTAGAGGCAGGCGGCGATAAAGGTCAGGCTGAAGAGGAGGAAGACGATGGAGCCTGGGGATTGGTTAGCTATGCACGCGCAAGGATGGATAGCACGAGGAATCATGCTGATAGAGGGACCTACTGAAAAAGAACTTCTCCCAGGGCGTAAACATGTAGACGCTAAAAGTCACCTCGAGCTGGTATTGCTTGAGGCTCAACCACTTTCGGAACGCTCCAAGAACCGCCATGATGTCGAATTGATGAAAAGGAAAGGTCCAAGTTTTATTTGCGCGTGCGAGTATTTATACCAAGGATCGTCGTCGTCGTCGAGCGATTAAAATTCAATTTGTTGTCGCAGTTTGAAGGTAGAGAAGATGAAATCCAGGAGAAAGGGAATCGAATGAGAAAGGGAAAGGGTCCTCCACTCACCGCACCGACGCTCCCGAAATTTGGTTGCCTCTCATGTCCTGCGGAAGGAACAGGGGGTGGGCGTCAAGTGTTACTTTCCTTACCCGTGCACGCGACGGGTGGCAGTGGTGGCCGCGGCTGTGGCTTGCCTCGTGGCACAGGCGACGACCAGAGGTTGTGTGACGCAGCCTTGTCCGCCCACAGTCAACGTCGACTCGAGATGAACCCCTCGCTTTGTTGACCATACACAACATTGCCGAGGAATTGACCTCTCTCACCCCTTTAGATTTACTACTAAAGAGCTACGAAATGGAATCATCATAATGTTTAGTACCCTCCTCCGACCCCTCCGCCTAGGCGCCGCCCTGTCGCCCTTCGGATCACCCGTCCGTACCTTTACCATTATATCCACGCAGCTTGCCAAAGCTCTCCCTCCACGACCGAAGCCTCCACCAGAGTTCGAAATTGAAGAATCATACGTCAAAGGAAGCGGTCCAGGCGGCCAAAAGATTGTATAAACGCCCATTACCCATGCAACACCTTTCTCTACTCCAACCCATGGACCTTACCAGTCATCCAGTAACAAATGGCTAATATGTCACCGCTCATGATAGAACAAAACAAATTCAGCAGTGCAACTCAAGCATATCCCTACCGGCATCGTCGTCAAGTCACAAGCAACCCGCTCCCGCGACCAGAACCGAAAGCACGCCCGCGAACTCCTAGCCCAACGGGTCGACGAATTCCACAACGGTGACCAGAGTCGATCAGCCATTGTGGGCCAGGTCAAGAAGAAGAAAGCAGATAGCGCTTCCAAGAAGAGTCGGAGGAAGTATAAGAAGCTTGAAGAGGAGAAGGCTGCTGTTGCTGCCGCCGAGAACTCGGTCACGCCTGATCCTACAGATGGAGAGGGCACATCTGTACATCATGCCCAGGTCGTTGATCATGTCTCAGAGCTACATGATACTCAAGACAAACCAACATGACGATTGCTCATGAGTGCCCCTTTTATGATAATGGATATCTACGTTAAACATGGATCTGCTCACTGGCAGGCATAACACCATTGTCATCACCTCGTTTGATTTCAACATTTCTAAGCGGAAAGTAAAAAAGTATTTGTATGATCAACCTCGGCTTCTACCCCTAGGCACGCATTACACGCGCAACTACAATGAAGGGGCCATCACATCTCTTCATAGCAAGCGCAACGCCCACCCCCTCTTGACCATGTCAAAAACTTTTCGTAAATATGAGATTCGACCATGATGCGCGCCAACCACCCAAGGCTCCGCACCGGCCGCCACCTCCATGATCTTGTCGTCGTTGCGCGGGTGGGAGGTTTTTGTTTGTCGGTCGTTTTGCTGCCACAGTCAGTTTACTGTCCGGTAACTCTTCCATAAAATACACACCTTAGAAGCACTTGCGGTGAACGATCGAAGGACCGCTCTCGTCGTACTCCTGCTTGGAGATCCACATTTGCTGGAAGGTGGACAGAGAAGCAAGAATGGAACCACCGATCCAGACGGAGTACTTTCGCTCGGGGGGAGCGATGATCTTGACCTTCATGGAAGAAGGAGCAAGAGCAGTAATCTCCTTCTGCATACGGTCGGAGAGACCAGGGTACATGGTGGTACCACCAGACTGTGCCAGAGTTAGAAATGATCACTGATACCAATATTGCAAAACATACCATGACAATGTTGCCGTAGAGATCCTTTCGGACATCGACATCACACTTCATGATGGAGTTGAAGGTGGTGACGTGGATGCCACCGCTCTCAAGACCCAGGACAGAAGGCTGGAACAGAGCCTCAGGAGCACGGAATCGCTCGTTGCCAATGGTGATGACCTGACCGTCGGGAAGCTCGTAGGACTTCTCGAGGCTGGAGCTCTGAGCGGCGGTCTGGATCTCCTGCTCAAAGTCGAGGGCGACGTAGCAGAGCTTCTCCTTGATGTCACGGACGATTTCTCGCTCGGCGGTGGTGGAGAAAGTGTAACCGCGCTCAGCAAGAATCTTCATGAGGTAGTCGGTAAGATCACGGCCAGCCATGTCGACACGGGCAATGGCGTGGGGAAGAGCGAAACCCTCGTAGATGGGGACAACGTGAGTGACACCATCACCGGAATCCAGGACGATACCGGTGGTACGACCGGAGGCGTACAGGGAGAGAACGGCCTGGATGGAGACGTAGAAGGCGGGGGCGTTGAAGGTCTCGAAGACAATCTGGGTCATCTTCTCACGGTTGGACTTGGGGTTGATGGGAGCCTCGGTGAGCAGGACGGGGTGCTCCTCGGGGGCGACACGCAGCTCGTTGTAGAAGGTGTGGTGCCAGATCTTCTCCATGTCGTCCCAGTTGGTGACAACACCGTGCTCAATGGGGTATCGCAGGGTCAGGATACCACGCTTGGACTGAGCCTCATCACCAACGTACGAGTCCTTCTGACCCATACCAATCATGATACTGATCTCTGTCAGTTTCTGGCCACGGGAGGCGGCAGGAGGTGTCGCAAATATCAAACTTACCCATGGTGACGGGGGCGACCGACAATGGAAGCTAGATTGCGAGGTTAGCAGGGCTGTTCATTTTTGTGTGGTGCACGCGCCCAAAGGATGCGATATCAGGCCTTTGGGTGTGGCACACTTGGGAAGTGGGGTACTCACGGAAAACAGCTCGGGGAGCATCATCACCGGCGAAACCGGCCTTGCACATACCCGAACTAGCATCGAGTCAGCTATCGAGAACATTACGATTGTTTTGAGCGAGTCTCGATCCGCAAGGCCATATGCATCGACGTCGAGGCCGTTGTCGGACATCAGACGATGCGGTGGCATCTGGGCCAGGGGGGAGAGAGGAGGCGGGGAGGTAGGCGAGAGGTCGGTGAGACAGGCGGGACACGCGGGGAGCTTACCCATTGTCGATGACGAGGGCGGCAACTTCTTCTGTAGAGAAACAAAGTCAGCGATGGTCCAGAGATGATTCCCGCGATGCTCGTGCCGGATTGAACAGGCGCGGCGATGCAGCGGCGCGAACGTGATGCGACGTACCCTCCATGGTTGTGGATTACGGTGTGTGTATGGGAAAGCTGTCCAGAAACGGGATTAGCTCAGGCTCAAAGGAAGGCTCAGAAGCAGGCAAAAAAGAAACAAGAAGTCAAAGGCGAGTCAGTAAACTGCAAGATCGAAAGGCTTACGAGAAAAAGAGACGTTGATGAGAGGAGACGGAGGTCGGGGGGTAGAAGAGATGAGGAGAAGTAGTGGTTTGAATGGAATGGGAGAGGGAAGAGGATGGGACGGAGAATGAATGGGGGAGGGGGGAAAGGAGACAAGTATCGCCGGGCGACGCTGTCACAAGAAAGTTGTGGGCGGGCCCCGAAATGCTGAGGTGGACACTTTGGGGACAAGGGGGGGGAGACCGCCTGCCAGAAGCGGGTAGAGGACCTGGGCAGACGAGGCACGGTAGCCCGCTGGAGCCCGCTGGAGAGCTGGGAGGAGGGCGGCAGAAAAACCACGACGGCCAGGGAGTTGCTTGCCGCTTTTACTGATTGGTTCGTGGCGGCCGTAGCGCAGGTAGGTAGTGAGTGCGCTGGCCAGGTTGATGTGCTGTGCTCTCAGCGGGTTGACCCAATTGCCAGTGGTTGTGGTTGCAGTGGACGTCCGGTCAGGTTGTAGCGGTGGCTGGGGGGGACTTGTCGTCTTGCGGTCACCAACTTGGGGGTCACTGACGAGATGATGAGATGGATCTGGACCTACTTCGCTTATTTGACCGTGATTGTGAGATGGAGATGGCTTCTATTACCAATGTAGTGTTTTCAACAGCCTCGCATATGCTCGTCGTTCCAAAACCTCAACGGCCCGTCTTCCGTGGCCGCATCACGGTTTTTATCTCTGTTCGCTCTGATGCACAAGGTGACGTCGTCAGCACAAACTCGCATCCACCGCCACGCGGGCTGGATGGCGACGTCAGCTAGGGAACTTTTTAATGCTGCAGCCTTTGAGGCTTCTCTCTACCTTTCTTGGCTTCTCTCCCGGCGAGCCACCCGGAGCCTCCATGCGCCTTTGAAGCAGCCGACTATTTGCGCCAGACAATTAGCCTCCTCTATCACTCGTCCGTTCCGTCAAGGAACATGCCAGCCAGCCTCTATCAGGCATCCGGGGAAAGAATGCCATGGCACCATCCTTAGCAGTCAAGACCGACTCAGCACGGGGGACGCCCCTAGTCAGCCCCAGCCACCACAGCCTCGAGCATCATCATCTCGAGCCTTGCGCTGATGGATTCCATCAGATATCAACACAGTCCCAGCACCGCTCAGGACGAAAAGGAGGCTGGACTCCGCAGGCCAAGTTCGAACCGGTTCCCGGAGAGCTTCCTGTTTCCGCGTTCCCACTCCATAATTAGCACGAGCGGCTAATTAACTGCAACCGCTCCTTGTCCTCCTCCTCCTCCTCCAGGCCCCCAGTTACGCGGAGGCAGCTGTCTTTCTAATCCATACCTACCAACTGATATCTCCGCTGACGAACTACAAGCCACCCGAGAGAACGCTGGAAGACGCGTGGATCTCGCCGTTCAGCTAATAAGCTCACCCACCCGTTCCGACTGGTTCAAGCAGGCATCCGAATTCCACTCCTGGGGGACTGTCCCTCCTGCGGACAACCACAGATTGCACGCCTCCTATTTCCCAAGTCTATCCGATCGATGCCTTCCTAATCGTGGCGGACTTCCGCTTATCTCGGGGTTTTCTGGCGCATCATATCCGCCGAATTGAGCTCCCAGCCTTTGCCTCGCATGCCGCCTGTTGCTCTGGGACGGCCTGTGCGTGATCTCATCTCTCCAAACAGCTTCACCGTCGTTCCATTGCCTCCTGAGCTAGAAGCCCTTCGTCTTCTCTTGAGGCCCAACAAATCTTCCATTCCTCATTATGACCCCTGCATCGCCCCCTGACCCAGCCAACCGGGGAAATCCACCCTGCTGGTGGCCAGTCAGCTAGGCCATAAGACGGAATAGCTTCGCTCCTAGACAACGGTAACTCCGCTGGCCTCGGCGTGTGCTTTCGGTTGCGAAAATTCCACCAGGCTGCAGTTGTTCTCTAGCCTAGGACTGCCCATCAGCTGCAGCCTCGGGGACCCTTTCGTATTTTCCAGGCAGTTGAATTACTACCTATGCGCTATGCGATAGACGCGCGTCAACCCAGCCACCTACAGTCCTTGGAATACGTCGAGGGTTGTGTGCGTCTCCAAGGTTGTATTTGCCCTCGCTTCTTTTTTTCTCTTGTGCTCTCGTTTCTCGTTTTCGCTTTCAGCTCACTCGAGCTCGGGTGCAAAAGCAGCGATGAGGGGCAACATGGCAAGGTGGGGCAATTTGGCTGAGCTGGAAGGGAAGCTATGATGAAATCTTTCCTTGCCACGTTGGACCACTATCACCTGAATTGCGTTGGTTCCCAATGCACTGAGAGTACGAGAGCCTTCTGAGCCTGAAAGTAGTATTTGAGCAACACGTATGAGCTATCGTGAGGCCACTCAAGCACTATGCGGTGAAGATATCAAGCCAAAGATCTTCAGGACTATCGGGGGCCGGAGAATCGAATCTTCCTGAAGTAAGCATTTTGCGCCGACGCTAGTCCTCTTGTGGAATAGAGTCTTCTTGAAGATTCCAGAATGGGCAAATTCTAATCATCACGGTTGGTCAAGTTGAAAATCCCAGCAAAGATATTAAGACCCAAGAACTCTGCATTTGCAAGCACAACTTTTTCAAAGGCAAAGACACAACAAGCATCTATACATTATAACCATCATGGATGACAAGCGCCTCAACGAGCTCCTCAAATGGAGCATCGAGAACTCCGACGCAACCAAGGCCGATCCCAATGCCCCGCGGCCCACCACCGACCTCACCCCAGAGCTCATGGCCTCGCTCATGGGAGGCCCCTCGGACGCCGACCTCATGAAGGCCTCGATGGAGATCATCACATCGAACGACGCCGAGCA